ATGGCTTTCAAATCCATTTTAATACAAAATCTGATAATGGAAATGCATTAGAGGCCTAAAGTTAAGGTTAGGATTGGATAAATGATTAGCGGTAGGTTTGGGCAGATTTTGGGATATGTATTGGAGCAAGGGAGAGGTTTTGTAGGAAGGAAGGTTTTTGATTTGAGTATCCAATTTTTCACTTGTTTTTACTATTAGGACCGAATACAAGCACACATATCTTCACATTGCCTTGGCAAAATGCAGATTACATAAGACATAATTTTGAGATGCATTTCTCCATATTGATTTCTTGGAATAGTAAATATGTAGATTGTGCATAATAAGTTATTATCAATCTATCAGTGTATTCCTTTGAATGATTTGATGATGCTTTGATTTGCATTCAATCAGATTATTGGGAAAATCCCAAAATGAGACTGTCCCTAAAGGGCTTGAACTACTGGGGTTAATTACAGCAAGAGCATTGACGAAAGACCATGTGTATGTATAATAATAACAAAAATAATACAACCCCAATTCTGAAATAGTTGGGACAACGTGTAAATTGTAAAAAAATCAAAACACAATGACTTTCTAATCACACCAGCTAGTATTTTATTCACAATAGAACAGAGATAACATAGCAAGTATTGAAACTGAGAAATTTGACAATTTTATCCACAAAATGAGCTCATTTCAAATTTGATGGCTGCTACAGGTCTCAAAAAAGTTGGGACAGGGGCCTGTTTACCATGGTGTAGCATCCCCTCTTCTTTCTAACACAGAGTGGAGGCGTCTGGGCATTGAGGAGACAAGTTTCTTGAGTTTAGCCATTGGAATTGGATCCCACTCTTGTTTAATACAGGCTTCCAGCTGCTGGAGAGTTTTGGGTCTCCTTTGACGGACTTTTCGTTTAATTACGCACCAAATGTTCTCAATGGGTGAAAGATCAGGACTGCAGGCAGGCCAGTTCAGCACATGGACTCTTCTACTACGAAGCCATGCTGTTGTAATAGCTGCAGTATGTGGTTTTGCATTGTCCTGCTGAAATACACTAGGCCTTCCCTGGAATAGATGTCGTCTGGAGGGGAGCATATGTTGCTCTAAAACCTTTATATACCTTTCAGCATTCATGGTGCTTTTTAAAACATGCAAGTGTCCCACACCAGATGCACTAATGCATCCCCATACCATCAGAGATGCCGGCTTTTGAACTGAATGCTGATAACAGGAGGGGTGGTCTTTCTCCTCTTTAGCCCAGAGGACACAACGCACATGATTTCCAGCAAGAATGTCAAATTTGGACTCGTCTCACCACGGGACACTTTGCCACTTTGCTACAGTCCATTTTAAATGAGCCTTGGCCCACAGAACACGGCGGCGCTTCTGGATCATGCTCAACAATGGTTTCCTTTTTGCATGATAGAGCTTTAGGTGGCATCTGTGGATGGCACGGCGGACTGTCTTTACAGACAGTGGTTTCTTGAAGTATTCCTGGGCCCATTTAGTAATGTCAATGATAGAATCATGCCGGTGAGTGATGCAGTGGCGTCTGAGAGCCCGAAGATCAAGTGCATCCTGTAAAGGTCTTCGGCCTTGTCCCTTAAGCACAGAGATTTTTCCAGTTTCTCTGAATCTTTTCATGATGTCATGCACTGTCGATGATGAGACCTTCAAAGCCTTTGCAATTTGATGTTGAGGAACATTGTTTTTAAAGTATTCCACAATTTTTTGCGCAAGCCTTCACAGGTTGGAGAGACTCTGGCCATCTTTACTTCTGAGAGACTCAGCGTCTCTAAGACATCCCTTTTATAGCCAATCATGTTACACACCTGATGCCAGTTAACTTAATTACTTGCTAAATGTTCTTTCAGCTGATTCTCTATATTAATTACCTTTTCAGCCTGTGTCCCAACTTTTTTGAGACCTGTTGCAGCCAGAAAATTTGAAATAAGCTCATTTTGTGGATAAAAATGTAAAATTTCTCAGATTCAACATTTGAAATGTTATCTGTGTTCTATTGTAAATAACATATTGGCTCAAGTGATCTGAAAGTCATTGCATTTTGATTTTTTTCACAATTTACACTCCGTCCCAACTATTTCGGAATTGGGGTTGTAATAATACATTTATTCCTAAAGCACCTTTTGAGCAAAACAGCACAAAGTGCTTCACAAACAGGTAAACAGTAAATATATAGAAAAAGCAAAAAAAAAAAAAAAAAAAAAAAAAGTCAGGCAAATAACATCAAAATAGAAGAAGAAGTATTTTAAAAACAGACTTACACAAAATCACACCAGAAAGGAAGAAAGCAGTAGTATAATTAAAGAATTTAATCACCAAAAGCAAGCCTATTAAGGTGAGTCTTCAACAGAGATTTAAAAGAAGGTAAAGATTCAGCATTCATTATATTAATTGGGAGGCCATTCCAGAGTCTTGCAGCTTTAACTGAAAAATCCAGATCACCCTTTGTTTTTAACTTAAACTCTGGAACAGTCAGTAATGCTTGCCTTAATGACCTGAGCAATATATTAGGTTTATAAGGAATTAAAAGCTCACTTATATATTCTGGTGCCATGAAGTGCTTTGAAGGTAATCAATAAAATTTTTAAATCAATTCTAAAATGAATTGGCAGCTAGTGCAAAGATGCTAAAATTTGAGTAATTAGCCAAGACAGCCATGCTACGCACGGGGATCTGAAACGTCTTCCACATTGACGTCTTTGCCTCATTTCAAAGCGGTTATGGGCGCCCCTGTGTGGCCGTCACTGACCCAAGACAATAGTGTCACGGCAGCTCGCTGAGAGCTTGAACTGGCCGTATACGCATTAAACGCAGCCAAAAACCGTGTTAAAAGTCAGGTAATTCATCATGACAACCAGCATTGCACATACCTCTGTCCATCACACATTCGTTGGCCAATTTTCAGGCCCCTCCAACCTGTGGCCGCAGAGGATATAGCCCCCAAACAAGTAAACTGAGAGGAATTATAGTAGGATACAGGGTCTGCAATTTTTGGTGAGTGATCCTGCCGCTGAATTTTGAACTTCTTGTTGTTTGGCCAAAGATTTTTTATTCGGGTGGGTAAAGAAGGAGTTATCGTAGTCTAAACTTGATTAAATAAAAGACTGAACATTTTTTCAGTATGTTCAGAAGACAAAACATCTAATTTTAGCTAAATGTTTTGGATTTGCAAATAGTACACTGTTCAAGCTTCTTCATGCGGAGCTCGATTTTAAGTTTGGTATCAAAAATCGCACCAAAATTTTGAGAGAAGGGCCTAATATTTGAAACAAGAGGTCCAAGAGATAATTAAATTTTATCCGCAAATTTCTTTGGACTATTATGACTTCTGTTTTATTAAACAGCAAAAAATTACTTGCCAAACAATTTTGTAAGAGCAGGGAAAAATTTAGACCTTGATTTGTTGATCACCTCTGCCCAGGAGATTATGTTTTACCTTTAGTTTGTTACCTCCTCCGAGGAGGTTATGTTTTACCTTCGGTTTGTGGGTATGTTTGTTTGTTAGTCAGCAACATCACGGAAAAAGTTATGGACAGAGTTTCATGAAATTATTACCAGAGATGCATCTTAGCCAGTTTAAGAGGTGGTTTCACTTTGGGAGTGATCTGAGTCAAATGCCTGACCCAGGAATTTTTTTTTAAGGATTCTTTACCATTGCGGCATTGGAAGATTGGAATAATGAATGCCATACATCTTAAAATCCACAAGATGGTAGTACAGCTCCAAATGCTTTGGTGTAGGCATGCCCTCTCAGAGTGCTCCTGTTATCTAATTTGACAGAGGACATTTTCCCGCTAGGCTGTAATTTTCATTTACGTCTCCCACTAAGAAAATCTGAAAACTAAACTGTCATTTTGAAGTCACGTGAGATGACGTATAAAGTAGTACATACATCTTTAGACAGTAACACCATATTAATAAAAGGGAGCGTGGTTTCTGTGTGGTGCACTTCATGCAGATATAAATACCTGTAACTTAAAGCAGACATGTTTTGAGAAATCAGAAAATTGGCAAATTATACCTCATCGGAAAGACAGTGTCATGGAAATGATGAATAAACATATTCTGGACACTCACTCAAATAGGAAGAGAAGAAAAGGGGCATTTTGAACACCCCTTCAACTCGTGCACTTCCCCATAATGACCAAATGAAAATAGTCCCTTTCTGATGATGAAATTTGAGGGAGACAGGGACACACTGTCAGGAAGTTGAGTGCATCGACCATCGTCTGCCTGTCGTAATTTGTTCATTTCTTGGTCTCATTTTATTTTATATTGCTTGTAGATTAGAGTTCTGCTCATCAAAAAGTATGTTATTATTGATGACGCTGAGCACACGCCCCTGTTACATCTTGTTTTCAATTTTTTTCTGTGCAACGAGCTGAAGTGTAAAACTTTCCTTGAAAAAGTTCTAGGTCGTAAAAGTCTGTTTTACTTTGCCTCATGGAAACTGAAAAGTCCTCAAAACCTATAATAAAGTGGTAATTTATATACATAATTATCAATATATCTCTAAAGTTTTATGTACATTGGATTCGAATAAAGTACTCGGGGAATTGTCCAAACGCAGAGGGAGGAACTGGTGGGCGGCTATTTTGCATCAAAATTGTCTGGATTTGCGCTTGCTAACTGCTCCAAATATCACTATTTATCCTATAAATGAAAAAAATCAGTTTGATACAACCCATGAGATACATGTTTGGTATCACACACATGGGATTCAGCTGTAAACAGATTCCGTTTCTTGACAAACGTCAGAATAGATGAGATACACTTTATTGAACCCCGTGGGGTAATTTATCCTCTGCATTTGACCCATCCTATAGTGAGGAGCAGTGGGCAGCCACAGAGCAGCGCCCGGGGACCAACTGCAGTTCTAAAGCCAGTTCCTTGGTCAGGGGTTCTGGAGTGTTCCTGTCATGCATGTTTTTGTGGGTGGGGGAAACCGGAAACCCACACAAACACAGGGATGACATGCAAACTCCACACAAAAAGGCCCCAGGCTGGATTCAAACCCACAACCTTCTTTCCATGAGGTGATAGTGCTAACCACTACACCACCATGCCTGTTGATACACATGCACCACTGCCGGTGTTAGCGTCTAGTTGACGGTTTATTCTGGAAAATGGGGTGAATAATTAATTAGCTAGCAAGCTAACCGTTGTCGTAAATGCTTCAATTTATTTATTTAATGGCATTATTTAAAAGCATTAGCATGCTAGTTAACAAATTATTAATCCCATTGATTTGAACAGACAGCTAACCTTGACGCTACTTTTACATTTTCCAAATAATACAATGCTGACATTTCTGGGATAAATAGGATCACAAATTTGTGAGCCCAAAATGTCAAATTTAAGAAATTCTTTACATCTCGCTTGCAATGTAAAATACACATACGATAGCCTATGTTTCACATTAATCCCACGAGAGACATCACAGCTCTTGGCCCAATTGACAGTGCTGTTCAAGGATAATATTGGGGTTGCTAAAATCCAATTTTACGTCTATGATTACTCTGTTCCATTATCATTTCCGAGTGGAAAATGTTGATGGTTAAAGAGAGTATTGCATGCCCTTTCGGATGATGCCAAATATGACAATTTTTCATGATTTCAAATAAATGCATGTCTACTTTATCGCTGGCAGTCTCTACTTTGATCCAATTCTTGGTTTTAAAATCTAGAAAAGAAAATTTTAAACGGCAATTTTTTTCATTTTTTCAAATACTCAGAAATTACGCTGCAAGTTTTGTAATGTGCTGCAGATCTATACTGGGTCAAAATTGGGCTTGTTTTTGGTTCAGATGGTGGTTTGGTTACGGAGGCATAACAAGGCCATATCACATCAGCTTTTTGCACGAGTATCTACGTTTAAATCTTTTATTAGCACAATAATGTATCGTTGGAACATTGGCATAAGCACAAGCTTCAGAGGCTGACAGTAATTATGTCTGAGAGACTTTACTGTGCATAACTGCAGGGCTAAACCAGCAAAATTTATAGTGCTTTCTGAATGCTAACACTGAGGGAATGAGTGGAAACTCACAACCAAACCTACCCCCCTGCACCAGAATTTTGCAGCCTGGCGCTTTTGAGGGAAATTTAGCAAAGCGGCAAATTAAATCTAATGGGATCAATACCTGACCATGATTATATACAGGCATACACGTATACACTCTCACAGTTATTCAAATTCAAGCAAATTATATGTTACGTGATTAATGTTGAAGTCCACTTAGGAGATGCAATGTATATTCTGGAACATGAAAGATCAACATAAATGTAATCGTTTTTTAAGTATTTTTCTTTCTTTTATGTGTGTGTTGCATTTAGTTTTTGATTTTATAAAATGACATAACTGTAAGGACTTAAACGTGCTTTCATTTTAATGGTATGAGCTAAATATAATAATGCCTCCAGGTTTGCTTTTCTCATTTCCATTTAAATATACCTGCAATGATCTCCATATCTATTGTGAACCACATGTGTACTTCAGGCTTTCATGTCTGATATTGGATGCTACATACTGTAATATCGTAGTATACGCATGCTGTTGTACCAGTGACCAGCTTTTCAAATAAACACAAGAAGTAAACGCATTGGCCCTCATTTATCAACCTTGCGTAGGATCTGGTGTAGATTCTGGTGTAAATATCAGTGTTCGCCAGGTGTCACGTCTGATTCACTAAAAGTGTGTACGTCGCCGATTTCGGTGTAGAACTGGCGTGGCGTTGATAAATCTGGTGGCTGAAACCATCGTAATTTACATGACACGCCCCTAAAAGTTTATGCTCCAGGAGGCATAGTCCTGCCCACTTTACGACAAGGGCCCTCATTTATCAAACGTGCGTACACCAAAAATATGGGTGTACGCCAAATCTCCCGCAAGGATCAGTATTTATCAATCTGAACTTGAGCGAACTGTCCGCAAAAATCTCATGCAAGGTCTGACCAGGCATTCGCAGATTTGAAACCAGCGAACAACATGCAGGAACGAGTGCAGCTGTCAAAATGAGTAATAAACCATATGCAGCGATGCAGACGTCATGCTATATTTTGACATTGAGAGCGCGTGTTGAAGTATTGCGAGCATATTTTCACATTGAGAGCGCATGTAGAAGTTGCAAGCATGCGCGTTTTAAAATTGAGAACACATAATATTGAATTGCGCACATTTTGAGGTTGCGAGCGGCTAGAGAGGGTCTTGCGCGCTCAGTTTTTATGCGCTCGAGTTTTGAGACTAATTTTACGCCATAGAAATCTCGTAGAATCTCATTTCCGCGATCGTCACGTGGTTCATGGAGACTGCGAATAGTTCCAGGAAGTTGCTGGCGGGCAATTTAAATGCATGTGTCAAATCGGCCTGAGAGACATTCTCGCTAATTACTAGTCAATTAATAGCGTCATGGTTTTAGTGCCTTCGAGTTATTAAAATAATTAAAATGACTTTTAAAACGAGTTTTAGTCATTTTAAAGAGCGTGTTCCTGTTGTCGATTGCTTTTAATTCTTGGTTTGTTTTTGCTTTTGACTACAATGCCTGTTTAATCCCATCCTAATGTTTATTATGCAGAGGGAGGGGAAGGAACGTTTCAGTTTAATTTTCTACCAATTTTTTATTTGTTTGAGGTTTTAATAATCCCATGAAAATGGAGGATCCACGTTATCAATTCAATAATGACTTATGTAAACTTCCTGACTTTCAGAAAGGAATGGAGGACTGACAGATGACTATCAATGAGTATTAACTGACAGCATAATTAGTCCCGGCATTATTAAAAGCAGCATAATGTTCAGTGTAGCATTTTAGAAAATCCACTGGAAGTAATGACAATTTATCTGTTCATCATTTTATTGTACATCTGCATTTATGTATTGGTGTTCAGTGATTAGTTCAAAACAACTTTTTCATTTACTTTTTGCATGCAGAAGGTATCAATTTATCTAGGCTTGCATGCACAGTAATATTTTTAGGAAGGGCTCATTAAACACTATACATCCAGACAGAACAAGACACATTAAAACACAAATTTATCTCGTTACACACATACATTTTATGTATATCTTTTTATTTTGCACTTACAGTGCCATGAAAAAGTATTTGCCCCCTTCCTGATTTCTTATTTTTTTGCATATTTGTCGCACAAATGTTTCAGATCAGCAAATACATTTTAATATTAGACAAAGACAACCCGAGTAAATACAAAATGCAGTTTTTAAATGATGATTTAATTTATTAAGGAGAAAAAGCTATCCAAACCTACCTGGCCTGGTGTGAAAAAGTAATTGTTCCCTAAACCTAATAACTGGTTGTGCCACCCTCGGCGACAACAACTGCAATCCAGTGTTTGCGATAACTGGCAATGAGTCTTTCACATAGCTGTGGAGGAATTGTGGCCCGCTCTTCTTTGCAGAATGTTTTAATTCAGCCACATTGGAGGGTTTTTAAGCATGAACGGCCTGTTTAAGGTCATGCCACAGCATCTCAATCGGATTTAAGTCCGGCTTTGCTTAGGCTGCTCCAAAACCTTCAATTTGTTTTTTTAAGCCATTCAGAGGTGGACTTGCTAGTGTGTTTCGGATCATTGTCCTGCTGCATAACCCAAGTGCGCTTGAGCTTGAGGTCACCAACTGATGGTTGGACATTCTCCTTCAGGATTTTCCAGTAGAGAGCAGAATTCATAGTTCCATCAATTACGACAAGTCGTCCAGGTCCTGAAGCAGCAAAGCAGCCCCAAACCATCACACTACCACCACCATATTTGACTTTTGGTACGATGTTCTTCTTATGAAATGATATGTTAATTTTACGCCTGATGTAACGGGACGCACACCTTCCAAAAAGTTCAACTTTTGTCTCGTCAGTCCACAGAATATCTTCCCAAAAGTCTTGGGGATCATCAAGATGTATTTTGGCAAATGTGAGACAAGTCCTTGTGTTCTTTTTGGTCAGCAGTTGTTTTCGCCTTGGAACCCTCCCATGGATGCCATTTTTGCCCAGTCTCTTTCTTATTGTTGAATCATGAATACTGACTTTAAATGGGGCAAGTGAGGCCTGCAGTTCTTTAGATGTTCTGGGTTCTTTTCTGACCTCCTGGATGAGTCGTCGATGCACTTTTGGTAATTCTGGTAGCCCGGCTACTCCTGGGAAGGTTTACCACTGTTCCAAGTTTTCTCCATTTGTGGATAATGGCTTTCACCGTGATTCGCCGGACTCCCAAAGCCGTAGAAATGGCTTTACCACCCTTTCCAGACTGATAGATGTCAATTTCTTTGTTTCTCATCTGTTCTTGAATTTCTCTAGTTCCCAGCATGACATAATGCTTTTTGAGATCTTTTAGCCTACTTCACTTTGTCAAACAGGTTCTATTTAAGTATTTTTTTTGATTCAACAGTTCTGGCAGTAATCAGGCCTGGGTGTGGCTAGTGAAATTGGACTCAAAAAATGTGGTTAATCACAGTTAATTCATGATTTAACAAGGGGGGGCAATTATTTTTTTCACATAGGGCCAGGTAGGTTTGGATAGCTTTTTCCCCTTAATAAATGAAATCATCATTTCAAAACTGCATTTTGTATTTACTCGGGTTATTTGTTTTATATTAAAATTTGTTTAATGATCTGAAACATTTAAGTGTGAAAAATGTGCAAAAAAGTAAGAAATCAGGAAGGGGGCAAATACTTTTTCATCGCACTGTATGTACTGAAAATACTTCATGAAAAAGAAATCTTCAATAAACTCAAAAACATGAATAGCATGTGAAGCAGTTTGTCTGTGCCGTCTCCTCCATGTTGTTCTTGTACATAATCTCGACCATGGTTTGCTGTGCTGCGTGGGGATGCTCCAATCGCTGGGAGGTTGAGCACAAATGCACGGTTTCTCCAATGACGTGAAGAACAGAAAAAAAAAAATAAATTGTTGGCTCAATTCAGCAGGAGAAATCGAACAAACATTAAAAATTACAACAATAAAAATATAAGGTGATCGCATTCAAACACTGCACTTGCACTTTTTCACAACCAAAGACCACAGATTTGGAAGCTTATTGTCCAGTTTATTAAAAGTAA